TCTACATTGTAAATTCTCTGAATTGTAATTATCTACATTGTAAATTCTCTGAATTGCAATTCTCTACATTGTAAATTCTCTGAATTGTAATTCTCTACATTGGAAATTCCCTGAATTGTAATACTCTACATTGTACTTTCTCTGAATTGTAATTATCTACATTGCAATTACTTTGAATTGTAATTTTTCTGAATTGTAATTTTTTACGTTGTAAATTCTGTGAATTGTGATTCCCTACATTGTAAATTCTCTGAATTATAATTCTTTACATCGTATATTCTCCACATTGTACACTTTCAATATTATACACTATCTACATTGTATACTCTCTAGATTGCACACTTTCTACATTGTACATTGCACATTCTCTGCAGTATACATTTTTCTACATTGTGTAATCCCTACATCGTTCACTATCTACATCTGTATTACAATGTATGCTTGAATGAAAAGTTTCAACAAAATTTCTCATGGAAACATTTTCACACTTTTAACAACAGTGAAAGAAAGAGCAGAAATAAATTGTTCTGATGAATTAAATTTCAGTAAAATTCTGTCGATCACACGCGATCATCGTCGCTATAGGAATTCTAAGATGAACCAAATCGAATTCGACACACTAGATCGTTGGCCTAAAAATGGAATCACTGAACAGACGCAAAAAATTGCTTCGGTTTAAGTGGAGATAGTTGAACTTGTCCAATGAAACACATACCACTTGTTCCTCTTAGTCACGGTGCTACATATGGCGATCTATTGTATGTTCTTTCTTTCGTAACGAGTATATTCGTTGTTACACAAAGGATTGACATTGTTTCAAGATTAGTTCACGAGTTGTTACAAAAATACGTTGAGATTTCTTTGGGGTCAGTATAATTATAAAAGAAAATTGCTATATCTTCATAACGAGTATATTCATCATTGCACAAAGAATTGACATTTCCACGTGACAAGTCTACCCTGTTATCGCCGAAAAATTGACATTGTTTTAAAGACGAGTATAGTCGTTAAAAAGCTCGTTATTTTTCATGACGAGTATACTCGTCATGGCACACAGATTTTTGTCACTTCTTCACACTCGTGAAAGTCATTGTCATTTCGTCGAAGCTAGTGTAATCGTAAAAAGATTGTCATACTCGTCGAAAACACACCCACTTCTTTGCGACGAGTATACTCGTCATCGCATAAAAAGAAAATCGCTACTCTCCCGTAACAGATACACTCGACGAAAAAGACAAACTGACATCCCTCACGACGAAAACACTCGTCAGAAGCTGCCATTCCCTACGACGAGTATACTCGTCGAAGCTCGCCGTTGCTCCTAACAACTACACTCGTGAAGAGATTTAAATTCCCTCGGAATCGGTATACTCGTCCGAAATAATTTCCCTTTCCGCGCGACGAGTATACTCGTCAAAATCACTCGCTTTCCTTCACGACGAGTATACTCGTCATCGCGTAAAAAGAAAATCGCTACTCTCCCGTAACAGATACACTCGACGAAAAAGACAAACTGACATCCCTCACGACGAAAACACTCGTCAGAAGCTGCCATTCCCTACGACGAGTATACTCGTCGGAGCTCGTCGTTGCTCCTAACAACTACACTCGTGAAGAGATTTAAATTCCCTCGGGATCGGTATACTCGTCCGAAATAATTTCCCTTTCCGTGCGACGAGTATACTCGTCGGCCACAGCAAAGGGGTAAACGTCCCGCTGGCAACAAAGGGACTAGCCAGTTCCTTTGTCCCGGAACCAGTTTGAGCGACCGCGGAAAGATGCACACGCGAACTATTCACTGGGATCGGCGATCGTTCAACGAAATCGGCGGCTCACCGGTACTCACCGTGAGAGTTTCGGCGGTCACGTTCTCTTCTCCCCGGTCACTATTGACGTCTCGTAATCAACGATTTCGTGCCTGATCGACGACAAGGTTCTGTCCGATCGGGATCTCGGATCGGTCTGGATCGCTCGGTATCTCTCGGATCGGGTAAAGAATGGCGAGGAGAGGCAACCACGCTCGTGCTCGACCACCGTCGAGGAAACTGAAGCCCCAGGGATCAAAACCGTGTTTTATATCGGCATAACGCTTCGTAACACCTGTGACGGTGCACGCGTCGCCGCGCCGGCGCCCCACCACCGCTCCCGCGGACCAATTGTGGGTCCTGTGTCGATCGTTCTCGATCGTCCAAGGGTCGTCGCCGCGGTGGGGTGCCAGGATCTCGCGACTTTTCCAACTTTACTCGATCGCCGGACTCGACCCGGCCGCCACCGATCGAATTTACCGTTGCGGTCCATCCGGCGATTAACCAGCCCAGTCCCGCGGACGATCTATAGATCGCGCGTGCATTACCGATCCACGTGCGAAGTTTTCGACGTGTTAAACAGTTACGCATTCCATCAAACATTTAAATTCTATTTCAATTCTAGCGCGATCTTCTAAGCGAACGTTCTAGTACCGCGCGGACATGTGTTTCTTAAAATTCGCATAATTCTCGAAGTTGCAGATAGTAGCATTTGAAATTCGCATGCTGATGTTCACAATTGTTTATACTTTCATGTGGACAACAGTCCCGTGGTCAACGCTTCGAGACATTTCCTTATAATCATTCTCGAAGTTTAGAATAGAATGTGTGCGTCAATCACTGTGCCTGAAAGTGACGTCCGTCAATGAGCTGGTTGGAATGACGAAAATGAATTGGTCAAATCTCTCGACATTTTACGTTGTGAGTGTAACGAACATTCGAGCAGTTTATCTTGGTAATATATGAATTTAGAAATTCTTCGACATAACCTTGGAAAAATAGCTTCATCTTTCATTTATGTGCGTGCCAGTTGAACGGCCGGATTCTCATTTTGCAATTATAAACATTATAAAGCTTTATTGTTTGCTGGAGGTGATTGACGTCAACCGAATTTAAGTGAATTTTTCAGTATGGGAACAGTATTGTTTAAACTTTCGTATAAACATCGATTATTCTGGTACACTCAACCAACGAAGCTTCTTCGTCATTCCGATCGTCTGCAATTTTTGCAGAAATTATTCGAAGTTCAGTTAAAAATAGAAATTGAATCGTTTGATGGAATTTTGTAAATTTTGTCACGTTTTAAAAAGTGTACACCGATCTTTTATTCTCCCTGTATACGTGTGAAATGTGTTCGCTTAATAGAGAAGACGTATATCGGAGGTTCGTATAATCGAAGTTTCACTGTATTTCGTGTTATAAAATAACACGAATGCATCATTAGCTGCAAACATGATTGCAAGTTCAATGTGTCGATGTCGCTTCGAATGCTGTTCTGACATTCTACAAGCATGAACGTAAACATTGTGTACCCTGGCAAAAAGATAGCGGTATAAACATCTTTCAGTCGTGAGCAACTGATTGCGCAACATTCAGTGTGAAACAAAGTTTTCCAAATGTATGGCAACATAAAATTATCAAATTTAATCAAAAATAAATTTTGTTCAAATTTCATTGAAAATAAATGTTATTTAAATTTAATTAAAAATGTGAATAAAGATATTTATTGAAATTTAATTGAAAATAAATGTTGTTGACATTTAATTAAAAATAAATTTTGTTCAAATTTAATTAAAAATACATGTTATTCAAATTTAATTAAAAATAGATTTTATTGAAATTTAATTGAAAATAAATTTTATTGAAACTTAATTAAAAATAAATTTGTTTCAAACTTAATTAAAAATACATGTTATTCAAATTTAATTAAAAATGCATTTTACTCAAATCTAATAAAAAATAAATTCTATACAAATTTAATCAAAAATAAATTGCACAAAAATTTAATATCATAAATAAATATTGCACAAAAATTTAATATCATAAATAAATATTGCACAAAAATTTAATATCATAAATAAATATTGCACAAAAATTTAATATCATAAATAAATATTGCACAAAAATTTAATATCATAAATAATATTAATAATAATAATAGTAATAATTGTTGATAACGCAAAGAATTTAATATTAAATACTGGCGACATTAAAATTTGGGAAAGCATGCGATTACAAAGATAGTGAAAATAATTAATCGAAAATCATTATCAATTTCTTAAAAACCTGAAAATTACAAAAAGAAGAAAAGTGTCGGTTGCGAAAATACGACAAGACGAACGGCTTCAAATTCGAGGCCATCTGCAAGGCAAATTGTGCGAAGAAATATTAGATTAATAATCAATTTAAAAACTGTTCGTGGTATTTGAAAAAAAGTGTAAACATTTCAAACGTGGGAAATAACGACGTAAAACTTGGTCAGAGGAGCGACGATAAGTTCGTTGTTTGCTGTCCGATGAAAAATATGTACGAACGGATAAAAACTGTCGAATAATCATATTTACTGACCGAAGCGATTAGATCCCGACGTAAATTATGGGTTCTCATAGTAATCACCACGGCTTAAGAGAAGATCGAAAATGTCAATGGTCTTAAAAAGTGAAACAATAGCAACAAAATATTGTAAAAAAATCTAAAAATCCTTGCCAAGAAAAATAATTGTGTTAATTAAATGTCAACCGGGTGCCAAGAATAATTAAACATTGAACATTAACCAAAACTTCGTCGTTTGTTCAGATTTCTTGCCTAAAAACAAATTTACGTTCTCTGTTCAATTATTTGCAATATTTGCATATCACTTAGAAGAATGTGCAAAAACAAAACCTAATTCACATTACTCGATAAAAAAAGATTAAGTAATTCTTAGAGTGAGCTATGTTTTTGTTAGGGAGTGTACTAAACTATCCAAACACGCGTTAAAACTAGGAAAACAGAGAGAACGTTAGTTAAGTCTGACTCGCAGCCATATGACATAATCCATTAGATGCCACTGCCACGGCGAAGTATTATGTAATTGCTTGATAACAGTTATGTACGGACGTAATCATGATTTCTGTTATCAATTTATTGTCGACGAAGATAATCTTCGAGATTTGCTACCTCTTTCCTTATTCTACATATATTCATTTATGTCTATCTACATTGTAAATTATCCACATTGTACGCTAACCACATTGTGCATTCTTTATACTGTACAATAGTTACATCGTGTATCCTTTGCGTTGCATGCTACTGCATTGTAAATTCTCTACATTATGCATTGTCTACATTGTACAATCCCAACACTGTCAACCGACTACATTGTACGTTTTCTACATTGTCAACTAAATTCTCTGAATTGTAATTTCCTACATTCTAAATTCTCTGAATTGTAATTACCTGCATTGTAAATTCTCTGAATTGTAATTTTCTACATTGTAAATTTTCTGAGTTGTAACTCATTACTTTGTAAATTCTCTGAATTGCAATTTTCTACATTGGACATTTCCTACATTGTGAACTTTCTGCACCGTACATTTTCTGCCTCGTACACTTTCTACACATTTTCTACATTCTACATTTTCAGCATTATACACTATATACATTCTACGTACTCTACGTTGTATAATTTCTATATTATGCACTTTCTACACTGTACATTCCCAACACTGTCGACCGACTACATTGTACGTTTTCTACATTATACACTATTTGCATTCTGCATTCCTTACATTGTAAATTCTCTACTTTTTGCACTTTTTACATTGCACATTCTCCGCATTGAAGCTTTTCTGTACCGTACATTTTCTGCGTTGTACATTTTTCTGCGTTATACATTATCTGCATTCTGCGTTCTCCACATTGTGTGCTCTCTACATTCTAAATTTTCTATATTGTGCACTTTCTACATTGTACATTTCCTACATTATCAACTAAATTCTCTGAATTGTAATTTTCTACATTCTAAATTCTCTGAATTGTAATTATTTGCATTGTAAATTCTCTGAATTGTAATTACCTGCATTGTAAATTCACTGAATTGTAATTTTTTTCTACATTGTAAATTTTCTGAGTTGTAACTTTCTACATTGTAAATTCTCTGAATTGCAATTTTCTACATTGTACATTTCCTACATTGTACACTTTCTATATTGTACATTTTCTACACAGTATACCTTCTACATTGTGCACATTCTACGTTGTATATTTTCTACATTGTATATCTTGTGTATCACACATTATCTCACATTACTATCTACATTGTGCACCCTTTACATTATACACGTTTTACATCATTCTTTGCACGGTAGACAACGTTTCCTTTCCGTTTTTAATCAGAAATTGATTATTGCGTACCTAATCTCATTGATTTCGTCATTGAATTCCTGATCATCTGCTTTAAGAATGTTTCAACAAGATACACGAACGAATTCTCCTCGAACGTCTTTGATAAATTTGTTTGATGTTTCTTGACAGCCATGATTGAGAATATTTACCCGGAAGAACACGAATCGTACATGAAGATCATTGCTAAAATTATTCGTTGACGTAGTTTGTAATCGACAATTCGTGGTACGCATGATCTCGTCCTTTGCATGATTCTTGAGAAAGTAAATACTGGAACGAGTGTCGATAAATCTATATAACGGGTAACCTATTTAAAACGAACAATGAAAACATAATGCAGACGTAATCTAAACCTGACATAGACCTAATTTGCACCTAACTATACTTATAAAACTTGCAAATCTATAGTTCAGAATTCTTTTATAATTTGAGTAAAGATAAATATATGCAACGGGTGACCTATTTTAAACAAGTAACGAAGACCTAATCCGGATTTAACCTAGACCTGACACAGACCTAACTCGGACCTAACTATACTTATATATCTCGCAAATCTATGGTTTAGAATTCTTTTATAATTTCAGTGATGATAAAGCTATGTAACGAGTGATCTATTTTAAACAAATAATGAAGGCCTAATCTAGATTTAAACCAGACCTGACACAGACCTAACTTGAACCTAACTATACTTATAAATCTCTATAGTACTAAATATCTATAATTTAGGATTCTTCTATAATTACAGTAACGATAAATCTATATAACCGGTGACCTATTTAAAACAAATAGAGATGACCTAATCCGCATTTAATCTAGACCTGACACAGATCTAACTTGTACCTAACTACACTCATAAGGCTCGCTAATTTACAATTTATACTTTTTTTTGTATCTATCTATATCACGGGAGACCCATTTAAAAGGAACAACGCTTATGATGCTTGCACATTTATAATTTTTAGTTTACTCTAATTTGATTGTCGATAAACCTATGCATGACCAATAAAACGACTGATGAATATCACATTCTCGAAAATGGACTTCAAGCGGAAACAACATCGTGGATTATTTGCAAGTAGAATTTTCAGTTTCCGATCGATTCGCGAGGACAAAATCACAGGTGGCTGTATATTGCTATCGATATCGGTGTCAGATGGCGCAAAGATTTCGCGGTCTCCTTGTAACATATTCCGAAAAGTTGAACGAAAGGTAGCTGGATCGTAATCAGCGGATTCGCGGGTATAGTTAATTAGGACTCGGCCGAGTGTCCCCGTTCTTGCCCGGGCCTGTTTCATAATGCAATATTTGACGCGGGGCCGTAGTTGAGGATTCGTTGGTCGGTCAGAACGAGCATCTGGATGCTGCTTGCGCACGACCTTGCCGGTTAACGACGCGTTCCTGCAGCCGCCGAGCAACCGGCTCGCCTTCGCGAGAGGTGCACAAAACGATCACCTTCCATTCCAGTGCAACCGCGCAAGTAACATTGGCCCTCATGACCTTGTGACACTTAGGCCGGCCGCACTCTTTCGGCGCTATCAATGAACCGTAACTGCTCCGCGGATTCGGGCATTCCGCGAATCGGGACGCCTTTTTCTAGCGACCGCGTCGAGCAGACCACGCTGGGCTGAGAACACGTTCTAGCTGGACAAAATAGTTTCGGCGTTTCCTCAAAGGTGAATATCGAGGTCTGGTGATCTTCATCTTCGAACGCGACGTCGATGTTAACAATTCGAACAATTTCTTCGTGTTTAATTGTTAATTTTCATCTCTTTGTCATTGTTTAATATATCGAAAAGAATGAAGCAGATATGCTAAAGTGCGGTGTCCCGAGGTTTCGAACCTTTCAAAAATTAATTTTGCGTCTGCAGTTGAAGAAATTATCGTTATTCGATAACATGTTGTTGCAACGATTAATTATATCGATGAACTCCATGCACGATTCGTGTCCCTTCGGACAAACATTCCCGATCATGACTGTCATGAAACGTCACAAACGAGCTTATCGAAGGCTTCGCTCCGGTAAAATTCGTGTCCCTAGCGAAAACATTTTTGAAAACACTCGATCGGCGGTTCGATCGTGAATCGCTGATTAAAGATCGCGGCGGATTTTATCGAATTTTTCTCGCGCGCGATTCGTGTACATCGGGAAAACATTTTCGGCACTGGCTTCGATAATGGCGAATTTTATCGTCGAATTTTTAATCGAATTTTTCTCGGCCGTGTTCTTTCGGGCAAATAACCTCAATCGAGATTCCCGAACGTCATCGAACGACTTTTTATCGGCGACTTTCGACTACGATGCGTGTCCTTTCGGAAAACAATCCGGCCACGTGAAATTCCGAGCGACGAAGGCATTGAAAGAATTTAAGATAGTGCCTACATTCTTCGCCATTCGTTCAGATCGTCAAAGGAAGAAATAGATTTTTATGCAAATCTCGTTCATTTTAAGCGATTCGGACACTATTTATTTTGCATAAAGATCCGCCGACCGATGACAAACCACTGATTGAAAATCCGGTCGAAAGCATCGTCAGATTTCATCGAAATTTGTCAACGTATTCAACGACAAATCGACGGCTAAGGATCGTGCGTAGAGGCATATTTTTTGGCACGCGGGATGCTGCGTTCAGAAATTCCATCTAACGGTGCTAATTAACGGAGCTGACGTCTCTAACAAGTGCAATGCATTTTTCTCTAGCGTTTTCGTTGCATCATAGGCAAGCAGTCGAGTTCCTCGAAATCTGGCTATAATGAATGTATTGATTTTTCCGATTAGATCAATTGCGCTTGAGACTGGAATAGTACCATTATTTGCAAATGAATTGCGCTATTATTACGGATGCATGTATAAATTTTTATAAACATCGTATTTTTGTTTACACTATTTCACTTTCATGCAAATTTTATGTTATAAGCTGGATGTAATTAAAGGTATTCAGACGAAGCGTCATAATTCGCAAATAAATTTCACTATTATTACAAATGCATTTATAAATTTTTATTAACATTGTATTTTTGTTTACACTATTTTACTTTGATACGAATTTTCTGTTGTAAATTTGATCTAAATAAAGATGTTTAAAAATCTTGTTCTAGTATCTGGCATAGTCAAACTAATTAAGACCTTCGCACATTTTTGCATTTCAGATAAACAAATTGGCCGCAGCCATGATCGCCATGGGTTTTTTGAAATTCAACTACCGTTTCAAGGTCGCCAACGCCACCAATCTTCATCTTTTTTAGTCCAAAACATTGTTAAATGTTTCTTGAACGCAAATAAATAAACCTTGTAAATGTGAAAATTGTTATAGATAATTGGTATACAGTTACATCACAGAAAAATCTCAAGGGAAGTAAAACGCGCGCGCACGCGCGAAAGTTTATATTGGTATACTCCCTTGCTTACTCGCCGTGCTACGGAGACGCGACACGAATTTTCCTACACGGTTGCATTCCGTGGAAACATTTGTCCGGTCGGTGTGCCGATTGCGCAACAATCGCCGGCGAGTACGTCGGATTCATTGAGCAAAGTCCCGACGAAATGCGTCAATTTTTGGAATCGGCCGAGTGTTCGTCTCGTCCCGCATTAATGCGAGCCACGTATCTCGATAAGTACTCGTCAACGGTGAATTATTCATGGTGCTCGATGTATCGACTGTCCGCCTGACGAGTACTCTCATGCTAACGATGGACCACCGCTGAAAGGATAGTGATATTATCGTTGATTTACCCGAGTCACCTACGCAATCGATCTATCGAGAAGAAACCGCCGTCACGGAATATTCACGCAACTGACCGGGTGCAACTTTTTGTCTCATAATCGACTAAATCACTAATTCAATCTCGTAATTCATCTGTCAATAGCTTAAACGATTTTTACGAAATTCGAACAAGTCAGGATTTTATTTTCAGTAATGTCCATTTTACGCTTGTAATTGTAACACCGATGGATAGCTGAGATTCTTCTGATTAAAACGAGCCTAAATACGACGGTGATCGGACCACGAAGACCTCGTTACAATATACTAAGTGAACGAAATAACTTGATCAATTTCGATATTTTACTTGTTCTTAGATAACACGCACAAATGTCAAAGAGATGTTCTATTTCAATGTTACGACGGACAGAAGATTTGTCCCAAGTCACGCTTTCCGCAATTTTAATGTATTCATTTTTTTTGTTTTAAAAATGATATTTTGATCATTATAACGTAATATCTAGCGCCAAGATCCATTGAATTACCAGGTAATTAATCATCAAGAAAATATTTTGCTTTGACGTTTTCGCAAGAACAACTAAAATACGGAAAGCGATCGAGTTACTTCGTCCACCCGGTATATAGTAATAAAATCTCCGGTGAACGTGGTACGATTTCTATCGTGTTTGGACTCATTTTAATCAGAAGAAACTCAGCTATCCATCGATGCTAGAATTACAAAACTAAGACGACAAGTACTGAAAATTAAGTTTCCTTAATTGCATGTTTATCTTTCGCTGCTCGCAGTGTCGCATTGAACGCCAATCCTCGATCGCCTATCCTTGCGTCCGACACGTTTGTTACACGCTAATCGTAACCGAAACAATCGGTCGCGACAGAATTTTTACACGTTTGATTAGATTTATTGTCGGGCGCAGCTTCATTAAGCAGAAAATATTGTCGACTCATATTTCCTGTACAACGCAATCGTGTGAAACAGCAAATCATTTCAAACTGTCACTTCCGGCGCTCGGTGCCAAAACACATTGTTCTAAATAAAGACGGCGTTCGGTAAAACAAGCGAAAAGTGATGGATTATTTTTCCTTCAATATGTCAAATGCAGATTTTTCGAATGTTGAAATCCCAGTATCTCTAATTAGTCGTTGTTGTCTAACGCGTTCTTACCGCAATGTTAATTATCAATTGGTAATTATTACTTACTTTTAGTCTCAATAATTAAATATGTAACTGAGTGTCATGTGTATTAATAAACTAATTCTGTTGTTGTAATATTACTACTCGGATGGCGGACTTTTTTTTGTACTATAAATGAGTATACATTATAGAATTAGCGTAGTAATTGTGTTCATCAATTTGTTTTCCAATTTCCTTTTAATCTTTTTGTCCAATTTTTTTCATAAAGTTTTTATTCAATTACTCTTAGCCTTTCGTGTTGATTTTTTTTTAATTCGTTTCAATTCTGATGTCATGGCATATTAACATATTGATTCGTATCGCAAAAACATTTGACAATTTATTTCCACTTGCGGCTGAACTCGACGAAAGAAATGAAATCGTTAGCGTGTTTTTTCAAAGCGATAATTTTACACCTGTCGAACAGTAGCGCAATCGTCGTAATAGTTAGTAGTTAGTAAGTATTTATGCCTGACGTTCGTCTTGTCGAATTATGCATGAACTGAAGCTTTGAAAACGCGTTCATTTAAACCAGTTCTATAATAGTTTCGACAAAAAGCTTTTATTCGCCAATCGCGTCGTCCAAGACATGTATAAGAAAAACACGAACAAGAACCGCCTGTCCCACCGAATGGCAATCACCGCGTAAACTACTCTCGATTAAACAGACAAAATTACAATAGTTCACGATGCTTCCGAGCTCGTTCCGGTGTTGCGTGCCCGGGACAGGGCAACACTGTCGAGCACAGACTCAATTGCCTCTTCCATATTCAAGCCACAACGCTGATTCGAAAAGCAAACACTCCGGTGCTGCGAATTCGTTGTCGCAAAAGACCAAACAAGCAATCGATCGGGAACATGTATACTGTAAATTATCGTTGTTGAAACTCGTTCGATCTATCCGACGGATACGGGATGAGGCACAAATTAGTTTCCACGATTTTTCAACCCCTTCCGATGGTCTGACAAAAAAATGTTCCCTATCGAAGTTAACCTTTTGAGCTCTGAATACTCCTGGCCGAAACTTTTTTGCCACACTGAAGTGACTATTCAAGGCGCAAACAGTAATAAATTATAGTGATTCTTTTGCAGAAGGTTAAATAATTAAAGACTGTTATTTTTGAGCATTAAGATTATGTATATATAAACATTAACAATTTAAAACATTAAATTTTACAATCAACTAAAAAACTTAATTTGATATTTACAACACACACAGGAATTAATAATTTAATTGTGTGTGAAAAATTTCAAGACAATTATCAATACATAGACCGATACGGGTGCCCCTGTATTAATTTTACACGAAAATAACTGCATATTGATTGAAAAAATCGACAAACGCATATATGCGTCCATAGAGTATATATGCGTAATCAGTATTTAACCGACAAGAAATTGCAATTGTTTAAACTTAAAAACAAATTGATTTTCAATTAAAAAGAGGTCACCGTTATATTTTTAAATGAAACTAGNCGTAACCGAAACAATCGGTCGCGACAGAATTTTTACACGTTTGATTAGATTTATTGTCGGGCGCAGCTTCATTAAGCAGAAAATATTGTCGACTCATATTTCCTGTACAACGCAATCGTGTGAAACAGCAAATCATTTCAAACTGTCACTTCCGGCGCTCGGTGCCAAAACACATTGTTCTAAATAAAGACGGCGTTCGGTAAAACAAGCGAAAAGTGATGGATTATTTTTCCTTCAATATGTCAAATGCAGATTTTTCGAATGTTGAAATCCCAGTATCTCTAATTAGTCGTTGTTGTCTAACGCGTTCTTACCGCAATGTTAATTATCAATTGGTAATTATTACTTACTTTTAGTCTCAATAATTAAATATGTAACTGAGTGTCATGTGTATTAATAAACTAATTCTGTTGTTGTAATATTACTACTCGGATGGCGGACTTTTTTTTGTACTATAAATGAGTATACATTATAGAATTAGCGTAGTAATTGTGTTCATCAATTTGTTTTCCAATTTCCTTTTAATCTTTTTGTCCAATTTTTTTCATAAAGTTTTTATTCAATTACTCTTAGCCTTTCGTGTTGATTTTTTTTTAATTCGTTTCAATTCTGATGTCATGGCATATTAACATATTGATTCGTATCGCAAAAACATTTGACAATTTATTTCCACTTGCGGCTGAACTCGACGAAAGAAATGAAATCGTTAGCGTGTTTTTTCAAAGCGATAATTTTACACCTGTCGAACAGTAGCGCAATCGTCGTAATAGTTAGTAGTTAGTAAGTATTTATGCCTGACGTTCGTCTTGTCGAATTATGCATGAACTGAAGCTTTGAAAACGCGTTCATTTAAACCAGTTCTATAATAGTTTCGACAAAAAGCTTTTATTCGCCAATCGCGTCGTCCAAGACATGTATAAGAAAAACACGAACAAGAACCGCCTGTCCCACCGAATGGCAATCACCGCGTAAACTACTCTCGATTAAACAGACAAAATTACAATAGTTCACGATGCTTCCGAGCTCGTTCCGGTGTTGCGTGCCCGGGACAGGGCAACACTGTCGAGCACAGACTCAATTGCCTCTTCCATATTCAAGCCACAACGCTGATTCGAAAAGCAAACACTCCGGTGCTGCGAATTCGTTGTCGCAAAAGACCAAACAAGCAATCGATCGGGAACATGTATACTGTAAATTATCGTTGTTGAAACTCGTTCGATCTATCCGACGGATACGGGATGAGGCACAAATTAGTTTCCACGATTTTTCAACCCCTTCCGATGGTCTGACAAAAAAATGTTCCCTATCGAAGTTAACCTTTTGAGCTCTGAATACTCCTGGCCGAAACTTTTTTGCCACACTGAAGTGACTATTCAAGGCGCAAACAGTAATAAATTATAGTGATTCTTTTGCAGAAGGTTAAATAATTAAAGACTGTTATTTTTGAGCATTAAGATTATGTATATATAAACATTAACAATTTAAAACATTAAATTTTACAATCAACTAAAAAACTTAATTTGATATTTACAACACACACAGGAATTAATAATTTAATTGTGTGTGAAAAATTTCAAGACAATTATCAATACATAGACCGATACGGGTGCCCCTGTATTAATTTTACACGAAAATAACTGCATATTGATTGAAAAAATCGACAAACGCATATATGCGTCCATAGAGTATATATGCGTAATCAGTATTTAACCGACAAGAAATTGCAATTGTTTAAACTTAAAAACAAATTGATTTTCAATTAAAAAGAGGTCACCGTTATATTTTTAAATGAAACTAGGTGATTTTAACTTCACAGTAGCGTAGGCGACGCCAAGACGAATTCAACGACCTGCTACATGATGACCTTCAGACGACACTGAAGGAAATATTGCCACGAATATACAGGTCCTGTTTGGAATCGTAATTCAATTCA